TTTATGGATGTTTAAAATAAAAATGTAACAGAATTCAGACGAGAGTGTAAATAGATTCTAATCTTTGTGTTTATTTTTGCAGCTGTGAAACATTTTATTTTCTCAGAGCCTGAAATTCACTGAACAATATCAGAATGATTATAATGGAGAAAAGAACTCAGCAGGTTAACGCCTCAGAATAACGTTTGTTTAAAGGGATTAAATGTCGGCTTTACTGAGACGACCTTATACAATTATTGTGACTTTTTTGTAGTGTTACACTTCTCCAAAACAAACGGAGAAAAAAACACATAATAAAGGTAAAAATTAACATTACGGTGATATTTTGTGTCACAATAATATCATTAGAATAAGTTATTTTGCAATAATTATAGTGTCGTGTTATTGTTATTAAGACGTTTAAGGTTTAAGATAAAAATCTAATTTTGAAGATAATTTTTTTAATAACACAAACAATAATGTTGTTTTTGTGAATTCTTTTTATTTGTGTGAGTTTTCCTTTTCGGAGGGTTTTTGTTCCAAATTCGACACAAACAGTGACGTTAAAGATGAATTTGACTTTTGCACTAAAAAAAATCACAATAATGTTTTTGTAAATTCTTCTCGTATTGTGATGTTTTAAACAATAATAGTCGTTCTTCTTTTTGTACACTTTTGTAAAGTTAATCCTCACTTTGCTAAACTTTTATTATTATAAATTAAGCATTATTAATACACAGTAATAACATGTAATTTTTTCTTTTTTGTTACAAACAACACAAAACGAGACACAACACAACAAAGCAGTTTATATGTTTTAATTATTGTGATATTGTAAAAATACGTTTATCATGAAATATTTTTGACACGATAATCGTTTGGTGAAAAAGTGATATTGTAATAGTGATATTATGATAGTCCAGCATTTAGCCTGAGCCATCTCCGGATCACAGTAGATTTACAGTTTTGTTATTTTTCCTTTTATATCCACACATCTTATACCTGTGGAGTTTAACGCTTGTTTTTTTACACTGTTAAAAGTGAAATTTAAGAACAAACTCAGTGAATGAGATCAATGTTCCACTTTTTCAGTGGTTTGAGTTTAAATTAAATCAGTAAATTTGAAATAGCATCCTCACACAGCAAAGTTTGCCTTGTTAGCATTTCTCCACCTTTATTTCGAGTTATGCTTGCTGTCATTTGTTGTTGTGCTTTTGGGGGCAGAGGGGGGCAGAGGGTCGAGTGGGTTGTGTGCAAAGTGTCCTCGGGCAAAACGCTGAACCTCGAGTGACCCCTGATGCCTCCACTGGAGTGTGAGAGTGAACGTAGGCCTGTGATTAAAAAACACACTTTGAGTCCTGAGTTAGAGTAGAAACGTTTTATAGACGTAAAAGCTAACGTGGCTAATGAGCAGGGTGGCTAACGTGGCCTCCTTCATCATCTTCACTGTCGCATTGTTAACCCGGACGCCTGCTGGGTGTAAGTCACCAGGGGATTTTTATATATTAATGTTTTTATTTGATGTGAGCAACGATGGTTAGCTAACGGATCTTATTAGCCAACTGTTACCATCACTTCTTTAAAATCACAGCCGATCGAGCTGTAACTCTATAGAGGGGCTTTTGATTTAAATAATGTGACTGAAAGCATTTCAGAGCCATGCAAACTGAATTTAAGACGATGTTTATGACCTTCTGTTACTTTTTGAGGACCCGTAGATACTCTGTTCCTTTAAAGTAACTGATTTTTTTCAGTAAAGATGACAAAATCCAGACAAACAGCAAAAACAGACGTGCAGCCACCTGCATGTTAATCAGCCAGGGGCCCAGACTACAGTCAGGACAATGAAATAAACTCAATAAATGAATCTCAAGTTACTATAAGCACTGAGAAACCAAGTTATGAGCACCAGTCGTGATGGTAACAGTAACAAAAATATAAATAATGACCCAAACTGCTCTGTTTTATGCACTCCTGCACTCTGTAAGCTGCAGAGTCGGGTGAGGGAACCACGTCCGTCAGGATTTGGGGGGGTGTGTTATTACTGTTGACCACCGAGAGGTTAGACCAATCAGGAACTAGGATTGTCAGATGTGTGTGTGACAGCATCAGGTAGTATTAGCGTGGACTGTAGATCCGTCTGTGGGTTGTTTGTAGTGTTAATGTGACCCTGTTTACCGTCACGCACTAACAGTTTAACCGACGAAGTCTTCAACCAGAAAACTGGAGTTTAACTCTCACATGGATCCATTATCTTCTGAGTTTTATTTAGTCTGATTTAAACATCATTGGTTAAGTTGAGGAAACAGTTTGTGTTAATTCTCTTTTACAATAATATAAAAGAAGAAGCAACAGAAGAAAATCACAAACGTTAATATCAAAGATATTTGTACAAACATGTCACATGTGATGTGGAAGCAAATATGTTGAAACCAAAATGTCCGTGCTGCAGTTCAGGAGACGGGACTTCGTGTCTGAGTGAAAGTGACACATCCAACCCAGCACAGATCAAAAATCCACGTTTATTTTTGATCTGTGCTGTCCATGATCTCTTGGAAATGAGATTTTTAATCTCAATGAGATTTTTTACCTGGATAAATAAAGGATTAAGTAATTATGAAATATTAGATTTTAGAGTAAACAAGCAGACTCAAACATTTGGTGCCCAAACCTCAATGTGTAAATTAAATTGGTGGTGTTCGCTCTGTCTGCGCTAGAGTATCACTTCCTGTTCCAACACACAGTGGTGTTTTGTGTAGCTTATCTGCATAGATATCCTATTAAAAGCTTATAGATAACCTCTTATTTCATAGTATAATCTTCCTGTGCTTCACTCTCTGTGTACTCACTCCCTAATTTAAAGCTAAAGTGTCACTGTGTCTTTACTGTTTCGCTAGCTTAGCTTAGCTTAGCTTAGCGCTTAGCTTAGCTTAGCTCGTAGCCGACTCGCTAGCAGCATGGCCTCCTCACCTGCCCCCCCTGCACTCTCCTGCTCGTTGTGTCACATGCTTAGTTCTCCTCGACCTCCTTCAGCAGTAAAATCTTAGAAAGTAGTTTGGGGCCATAAAACCAAACAAATCTGATGTGCGAACTTAACCCAGCAATGAACTGAAACAAAAGTAACGTGATGATCGAAATGATCGCTTCCACTCAGAGTGGACATCGTCTGTGTGGACACCTGAACAGGTGTGAGGAAATAAAAGTGACACGGTTGTTTTTCTTTGGGAACCTGAATCAGTGGATTATATTTCGTGAGAATTTCACACATCAGATGAAGTCGAAAAGGCCGACTGACACACAAATGTGGGTTTTTGTGTATTTTATGTTTCACTGCTATCAGAGAAAAGGCTTCTCTTCTTTGGTTTATGGGCTCTTCGGGCAGGTGTTTAGGTGTTTCCGGTCCTCAGAAGTTTTTCATCCTTAAACACATCTGGGATGGAGGAAGTCTCGGTCTCTGACTTCCTGTCTCGGAGTGCGTCTGTGTCCCTGCAGCTTTAAGAGGAGTCTCTCTGGGAGAATTTAGGTCAGCGCAGCACTTTGGTCTGCTCACTTGTTCTGGCAGCTGGGACGGCCCCGGGGGGGCGGGGCTAGGAGGAGGAGGGTGCCTAATGATGTAATTGTGCCTGAGCGAGTGATGTCACACCCAACACACACTGACGCCCTCACAGGTCCCGAATCAGTAAAAGACTCCCCAGAACCAGAGCTGGTGTAGGACGCACTTCCTGTTGGGTCGTATCAGTGCATCAGTAACACGCAAGCCTATCCGGCTAACGTCGGGTTTAACTCTGGTTTCAGTGATGCTGTTGGCTCACTTCTTATGCCTGCTGCAGAACTCAGGTACGAACCCCCTACTGACCAATCAGATATCTGGACCAACAGCGTCACCACTCCTGAAGGTCCCTCACAGAGAGTGAGACGCTTCCCTGTCCCAGTCCGCCTACAGCTGTGCAACATCCAGGGTCCTTATCCCAAAGCAGGGAAACTCTCAGAGTCCAAGGCCTCAAAGTAACGAGGACCACAAAGGAGGGGAAACACCCCTTCAAAATAAGACAGGAAGTGACTTAAAGGACAGAGGTGGGCTTACTGGTACAAATGTGTAAT